TCTATTATGTAACAAATGTAATATGACTCTCTCTCCCCTCTCTCTACACACATTGTATCAAGTTAAGCACCAGAATAAGTATGCCGAATTAATCATCATTAAAGCAAGCAATCATAATCAAAGCCTCCACTAAATATCATGACAGACGGCAGACTGCTTTAGGCAAATGGTAAACATATACCGCGCAAAGGATTGCGGGACATTAATACAGAAAACGTGGAATAGAAACGCGGGAACTCTGGAGTTACTAACTAATACCCTTGTTGAGGATTAGCCTCAACAAGTCCATCAACAGTTATCAAGCGGTTGAAACATGTAAAATGTATCTACCCATAATCCTTGTCGGTCTCAGCTTTGTAGCTTTTCAGGTGACTAACTTTACTGAAATAAGTGTATAAAGTTCAGTCCAGTTGTAACATATATATTTTTGGATTCATAAAACAGTAAAGTAAAGGAAATTTAAAAAGAGAAGTCACTAGCTAGTAAAATATATTTATCAATTATAAGAAAATACTTCATTTTATACAAAAATTGGAAATTCCGCGATAAAGTATAGTAGAAAACCAAACATCATTATGCAGCGGTCCACTTGTTACTGTTGCGAGCAGCTTGAAATAATTTAGTTACTCCATAAAAAAGTAAAGAAAAAGAAAACAGAAAAGATACAGTTCAATACTTATCAAAAAGTACTGACTCCTCTTTCATTAATTTTTTTTGTAAAAACCTTTATAATACCAAAGTTTACAGTCCACACTAGTAGTCAAATAACATTTCATATTTCTAATTTTCAACTTTAAGCTTAGCAATTTTTGTTTTTGGCAGCTTTCCTTGTTTGGGCTAGCGTATTTTTACCACAAAAAGGGTGAACTTCCACGCAATCTGACAGGTAAACAAAGTCCTCGGTGAAACCCATTTTCCATTTGGGTGATTTGGGTGATTTACTTTAGGGGACTTAGTGTTCTTTTGTTAATTACCTGCCTCTGGCAAAATTTCAAATAATAATATTATATTGTGTACTTCCATCAAGCAATTTAAAAAAAAAAAACTGCTTGGATTGTTTGCTGATAAACGTCCTTAAGAAAATGGCTGTTGCAAGTGTTTGGAGATAATTAACAGAAAAGTAACATGTGTCACAGCCAGATTTAACTCCATGAGTGCCCATGCAATATGGATAGCGCTATCAGATGTATAAATCCTTATCCACTGGATAAGACGATGCTCTGGTTGTCCAATAAATTTATCCACTGAATAAGATTTATCCGTCGGATAGCGCTATCCACTCTTCGTACAACCGGGCCCTGAGCTTTGTGAGGAATGACCACTAATATTCATTGTTTTTCTAGTTTAATATGGAGCTGAAGAAAATCAAATGCGCACTCAATCCTTTGGGTTAGTTTACAAATTGCCATACATCGGAACACAGTGCCTGTTCTCGGATTTTGGCGTGCCAGGTAGAATTGTCTCGAGCACCGTGCTCAAGAACTAAGTGTGAACAAGTTCTGGTGCCAAAAGGGCTCTCTTAATTTGATTTTTGCAAAAGAATTTTCATAATTTACTACTGAGAGCTACTATCCGATTGTTATTCTAGTTCACTGTGGAACTGAAGAAAAGAAAGCCAACATTACAAAGAAATATCCACAAGTGGTGTAAGGATAGGAAATGATCAACTGAGTCAAGAAAAAAGTAACAGAAAAGTTTAGTTTTACAGAATCGCAAACAATCCAAAATTAAAAAGATAAGATACAAGGGTTTTGAACTTTAGCTTGAGGAACACAATCAAAACAAGAGTATTTAAGGCATTAAAAGGCCAGACATTGGAGTTCTGTCGTCCAAAGACCTCACAACAAAGATAAGGTTTGTTCATTAATTAAAAGAGGTACTAATGTCAATGAAACAAATAGACTATGGCAAATCTATTCTGTTTTCTGTCCAACGAAGTAACAACGAAAATGTAGTTCGTGCATTGATTGATGCTGGTAAGGACGTCAATAAAGCTGATAGACATGGCAGAACTATTCTGTTTCTTGCCGTCCAGCAAAGCAACAACGAAAATGTGGTTCGTGCATTGATTGATGCCCGTGCTGATGTCAATAAAACTGACAATTTTGGCCAAACTGCTTTGTTTTATGCCGTCCAGCAAAGCAACAACGAAAATGTGGTTCGTGCATTGATTGATGCCGGTGCTGATGTCAATAAAACTG